CCATATTTGTCAGATAAAGATTTTTAAAGTAGGTCTCGGCAAAGTTTCACTGTTTTTAATTAATTTAAATTTGTCACTTATAGACAGCTCTCGTCAACTGATTTTAACTTATCAATTCCTCGTGCATTTTGGCATTTATATAAAACGGTAACATCTATGTTATACCTTAGAATAAACCAAACTGTGAAATGAGACATAATTAACAAATCAAGACAATCATTGTTCCGTTACCGCTCAGTTAGCGTATTAGACACAACCAATTGATAAGTACACAAGGTTATTCACACCTGTGTCGTCCGGTATTGTCAGGGTAATTGTCTATACAAGTTTGCTTCTTTAAAAAGAAGCATGCGAGAGGTCTTTTTGCTGCTGTGGAAGATATGTTTAATTTGAAAATATTTGGAAATAAGACACAACGAATGGTTATAAATTACAATTATTTAACAAAATATAATTTATTATATAAATTGAATATATAGTATCATAATGAAAGTTTGTTTACACTTCATTTTTTAATGTTTTGAAAGATTATATGCTGGAGAAATGGATTTTTCTCCTTGACGCATTAGGGATAATTTTTATACAAAGGGAACTAAATTTAAAATAAATGATATGTATATTAAAAGTAGTATCAAAATAAAAGTTTCTTGTAAAATTCAATAAGAAAATTTTCGGTTAATGTTTTTGTAAGTATATGAAAACATTTCATCTACATTTTCCAAAACGGGCATAAATTTAAGTATGTTTATCAGATAATTTTAAGTCCAGGATTTACATAAAAATGTTTTATATCATTTGATTGGAATAAACAGAATATAAAGCTGCATGCCTTTAACCACAATATTTTAAGAAAATCAAACGTGTGTCAAATTTGTACCACTTGCGCCAAAAAATCCCCGTTGCGTTACTTAGTCATACCAGTTCTAAAGAACTTTGTACACGCGGTACACGGTTCACTCGGTCGTATAATAGTGCATGGTGTTAATGTAGCTATAATGTTCACTGTTACTATTTATCGTTACTGTTACTATTTATCGGAACAAGATGTAGTAAAACGCTATTAAGAAAACAATACTGTAATCGATTTATATAGTTTAAAATTAAAACGGAATGAAACATCCACAACGTAAATAATATATTCCGATTTTTCTTTGTACCGATCGATTCGTTCACTTCGATGTTCCGTAACGTACCGGAAAACGGTGTTTAGCTAGGTTTTCGAAAAGGTCAATTTTTCGTTCAAGTTAAGTCGTATTTTGAAACGGAGCATGCGCAAAACAAATTTTGTAGACTGCTCCTAATGGTTTTAAGCTGTAAATGACATTCATTTACTACAATCAGATACGCAAAAATGGATGCCGCCAGCAATCAGTCTGAACACTGTGGAGAGGTCTGATGACCTCTCCAATAATAATTGACTTTGTAGTCCCCTATCAACCGTCCGATATTCGGTTTTTACAGATTTCGGTATTGTCAATGTTTAATACAATAGTTTAAAGAAGGGAAAATTTGGGACTGAATTATTCGTCCGGTATTTAGAGTGTTCCGATTTTCTCAGCGTCCGGTTTTCTCAAATTTCACTGTACATTATAAATTATATTATTATTTGTATACTGATTTCAACCTTTATTTATAAAATAGAGATTAAAAGAATCACTAAAGAAAGTCCAACACAGCAAAATTAAAAATGTTGCCGGCTCGGTTTGTATATTTCTGTGCACCGCATTATTTTGCAAATTTCCTATTTTCTTTTTCCTTAATGAATAATTGTCTAATTTGTATTCGACGCTAGATTATTATGTGCCTGGTATTTTGGTGGAATAAACCCAATATCTAAGTTAAGCTTGATAATGCAATATACCGGTAAACTGCGTCGTATCTGTCTTGTCCTCCTCGAGTTTCCAGCACCTATATTGTTTTCGATATGGATTTGAAAGATGCATATACAGAATGGAACGGGGAAATGTGAAGCATATTCATATGTATGGCCTTACTATTGAACGTTTCTGACAGAAGTATTAGACAAAAAGAACCAACAACATTGACGCTTTCCAATCTGATCGCGACATGACATTAAAAGCGACGGAATGTCAATAAAAGCACCCTTTTTGTTTTGCTTCTCAATACACACAGCTAGGGGTTTAAAAGAAAAATGTTCCATTTTACAAATAAGTTCTTCAGCAAAATGCATTTTATACTAATATTGCTGTTGTTTTTTATGAAACACAGTTATATTCATAACCTCGAATTTATAATTACAAGCAAATTTCACTCTCCTTTATAAACATCCTGATAAGTGATTTATATAATAAGCTCCTTTCACTTATTCAAGTTATGTCCTTGAAAAATACATTGGATTCATATTTGCAGGACATTTCTTGTAAATTCACTAAATACAGTATGTGTTCAATTACTTATCATTGATTTACGTTGACAAAATAATAATCTTAACATCAAAATATAAATGGCTATCAAATATCAGCCATAAACTGCAGACTCATGCACGAACTAGAAACATCAACTAATTGTGACGTTTAGTGAGCCTTGGTAATTGTAACCAGTTTTAATCCGAGTGACATTTATTACATTAAACTTGGGAAGACATATTGGATTAAGTCTGACAGTTCTTTTTTATCTAGAATGCTTTTAAAAAATTTAATTGACACCACAACAGATGAAAAACAAACAAACACTTGTTTAAGATAATTTTGGATACCTTCAGTGAACAAACGCTAGACATGAAAGGAATAAGAATAATAAGGGGAAGATGCCTATTTCAGGACATTTACGTCTCGAAAATAATGAACAATTGTATATCCAGGCGTTTGTTCTTCTTTTTCGTTTTATATTATGTCGTGGATATGATTCTCCTCATGTTTGCAATTAATGTTTTTTTTTTATTTTGGCAATTGTCTACATTGATTTTAATGAGAATGGAAAGAGAGAGAAACGAGCTTTTTTTTCTAAAGTGGACTTTCGATAATTCTTGAGGGGTCATACAATAACAGAAACACAAATCCTGTTTCAAGTTATTTGAATATAAAATTGTTCATTACCTCATTTAAGATAATTTGTTTGGTCCTGTATAGCAGTCTTGATACTGTATCGGCTCAATAGTGTTGGTACATTAATATTCTAATATTCACCCTTGATCGGCGATGCATTGATTATAAATATATATAGTTGAGGCAATACTGTTGGCAGTATTGGCTGAAACAGTTGATGTTAAATCTTTTAATTTTGCTAATGATTATTAATTTAAGATAGTTTTCTAATATCAAAGAGGTAACGTTATCACGAAGATCGGAAATGTTGTAAAGCGCATTTTATAGGCGCCCTTGCATGCATAAATTCACACAGATTGAAATATAACGACAATATGATACATTAAGAAATAACAATCGAGGTATATTTGCCTTTGTAGGTGTATCATTGCAGATCTCTTCAAGAGAAATGATAAATGATCATACATTAAATATTTTATGTTATATTCTCCGAACATATGCCTTAATTTATTGTACAAGTATATCAATGTTATTTTTAATTTGTTACTAACTGCTTTTATCTATTTTGTATTATCGGTGAACTATGTGAATTGGTCTACAATGGTCACATTTTCAATAAGTATTTCAAATATTATTAAATAATAGAAAAATCTAATTTGTATATTCCTACACAATAATTCAGGAAAAAATGTTGATCTAGTTCTAATTGATTTAGGATGATCCTTTTCATAATGAATGATGGGTTGTTCTATATCATTTTATTATATGCTGTATAAATACATTTATATGTAATATCACATATCTCACACTTACCAACAACATCCATTTAATAAATATTTACTGCCATGTATGATAATGAATAGTCTCGACATAATTTCTTTGATATTGCAGACCTTCAATTAAGAACCATTTAACTTTAAATACTATAATACGGATAATTGTTGAATGCGGTTTATTCTATAAAACTGCTTCATTTCTTTATCCAACATACATATAAACATCATTATTTTCCTTTTTTTATAAAACGTATTATTTTAATATAATCTATTTATTCTACCTACCAGTAGGAAAGTAGTTAACATTAAAATTTGAAATAAAAATCTAAAAAGGAAGAGATCTTTGCAAGGACAAAGAACATGTTTTGAAAAATAAATTGAGTTATTTATGTCGATAACATATGTTAACAATTGCAATATCGTGTACCTTTACAAAAGCACGTTGAATACAGTGTTCAGATCAAAGTCAGATACAGATAGAAAAAATACAGTTGATTACGCTCTTTACAAAAACTACATATTTATTTTGCACGTTATCAAAAAAATTTTTTTGGCTCATCGCATAGTAAAACATTCACCAAGATAATAAAGCAGTACGCCTTCAGATTCATACAAATAAACATGAAAAATTTGAAAATTTATTCGAATGTACATGTATAATATTGTGAAGTAACTAAAATGAAGCAACATGCACATTATCAATGACGCTTGCAACCAGCGTTGATTACCAAAATAACTAAATAGCACTTTTTGGTTAGTAACGCAGTAGAAATATAGCTGTAAATACTTAAAAATGAATCATTAATCGCACATAAAATGTAAACTACATTTGTATTACTTGAATCTTGAATCCTTTTCTATTCCTAAAATCCTATTACATTTTTATCAAGTGATTTAATTGAGATATTTCGACTCATCTGGAGGCATGCATCTTTAAACGTTTATAAATTTAACAGTCAAGTAATTTTCGCCGCTTGTTTCTTTTCAAGGTCCTACATGTCTGGTTTCTAAAGATATAACGTGGTAGTATCATTTATATTAATGCCTCACTACTCTTATACCAATGCCAAAGTCATTTTATATCAGCTAGAGTTCTAAGTCCCCTCAAAATGTATCAAAAGTAGCATCATTTTGTACATTAAAATAAGTTTGTAATGATCACTCAATAAGGTAACAAAAACTCAATAACTTATTAACATGATTATCATGATTATTTCAGAAGGACAGTAAGCTTTTCATTGCGGCCATAGACTTGGGAACTTCATTTTCTGGGTGGGCATTTGCCACTATTTCGGATCTGGAGCAAGAAATAAAGCCTAATATATATATTAAGTCTTGGTATTCAACATACACGCAATTTGCAACAGGAAAAACACCAACATGCGCTTTGATAAAACCAGACGGTCAAACCCTAGACTCATTTGGCTACGAGGCAGAGAGAAAATATGACGATTTAGTATCAAAGAAACAACACGATAGTTATTTCTTCTTTAAAAACTTCAAAACTAGTCTGTATGGAAAATATTACCAGGTAAAATTCTTTTCATAATTTGAAAAAAATTATATTCCGTCGTTTTGTACAAAGGTATATGTATGCTTTTAGTATTTATCATTTTAACATTCATTCATTGCATATATGCTTGCATATCTCTGACGCTTAATTTTAATAATTAAATATGACTGTTTTGTATACAGGTTATATTGACTCAATCAAATCGAGTCTGCAATTTCATAAAAAATTCTTGTATTTAAAGCGTCAGATTGATCGCCCTTTTCGAGATTTTTTTTATTTTGTCTAATCGTGATGAATGCATTATACACATACTTTACAGCCGTTAAATACTGGCATGAAGCTTATCGATCAAATGGGAAAGGTGCTACCAGCAATCATCGTATTCTCAGCAAGCATTCGGTTTTTAGCCGAGGACATGTTCACTGATTTAAAAAGAAGATTTCAAGATATAAGACCGGGAGATATTAAATGGGTAATTACAGTTCCTGCCATCTGGACAGACCAAGCAAAATATTTGATGAGGGAATCTGCCTTACAGGTAAAACGTTGCCTCAATGTGATTACAGACAACTTTATCAGAACAAGCAAATTAAAAAAGAATAAAATATCTTAAAGGTTAATTAAGGTACAGCATCTTTCTTTGAAAAAAAAAATGCATATTTCGTCATTTTAGATTTTTATTTTCACAGACTTATATATAAAAACATATTTTGATTTAGGCAGGATTATCGTCGGAGAGCATAATTATAGCACTTGAGCCAGAAGCTGCGTCAGTTTGTTGCCGACAACTTGATGTGTGTACTGTTGATAGAGACACGGGTGTTACATTATCCTCCCTTAATGTTGGTAGTAGATACCTCGTGCTGGATGCTGGGGGTAATTTTTTTGTACATGTAAACAGATATTGCATTTAAAATAAAGAAATTGATCAGATTTGGATAAAAAAATGATATTTTAACTATTTATATCGGTACTAGAAATAAAACATTCATGTTCATTTAAGGGCGTTTATGAATGCATAGTGGATTTAGAATGACCAACTTATAAATAATCTTGTAGATCTTCATTCATTTTCTACATATGAAACAAAAATACATTAAATAATTATTTAAGTTAATTAAGTTAATTAAAAAATGATTGATAATGTATGCAAAATATGTAAGAAAGAGAATAAAAACCTGACTGTCGTTACAGACGGACATTACTGGTCCTCTAGTAACTGTTCAGCGGTAACTCAGAATTCCGTGTTGCCGCCGTGAAGAATAAACCTTCAGGGCCAGTGTTATATGCTGATATTCCTTCACCTATTTACCATGATACTGTTGCTTTGTATTGTCATGTGTCACCAGCAACAAAACATATTTTAGTACATGTAAATTGTCCACATTGACTTTTAAAGTAAAATGGAGGTTCAATCGAAATGTATATTTATTTTATATGTAAAACTGCATTTCTAATATCAGGATCAATCATGAGAAATGCAACTTTATCTATACTGTGTGTGTTTTTGTACCTCACATCTGTAAGGCTGTAAGATTTTTTTTCAGGTGGAACAATAGATTTAACAGTACATGAAATCACATCTGCACAATGTATTAAACAAGTAGTGGCCTCAAGTGGGAATATATACGGTGGTAATGCAGTCAATGATGAGTTCGAAAAGTTATTGAAAACAGTTTTATCTGATGAAAAGTACGAACGATTTAAACTGTCAGAAACTGAAGATTGGATGTACTTAATGGGTGACTTTGAAACCAAAAAGAAATCTTACAACCCTCAAAAACGTGATCATGTAAATATGAGAATCCCGCAAAGTTTGAAAGATATATATGAATCAAGTAAACGAGGTTCGATTTCTAGCATGTTTAAGAAACATAAAAGTTTAAAAGATGTTTTCGGAGAGATGGATGTCACTTTGAAAAGGGACAAGCTCTGTTTCCCGTCACACGTTTTCGACAGGTTTTTTCACCTGGCGAGCGTAAAAGCAGTGCATGAAATCAAAAAGGTGATAGGAAAAATAAATGGAGAAAGAATTTCCTGCATAATTATGGTAGGCGGCTTCTCTGAATGTATTCTTTTGCAACAAGCTGTTAAAACAGAATTTTCAGACATTCCTGTTGTTGTACCAATAGAGGCCTCGACTGCGGTGCTAAAAGGTGCGGTTTTGTATGGACATCATCCTTTTGTTATTTCAGAGAGGGTTGTGAAATATACATACGGTGTTTCAAGTAGTGCAAAATTCATACCAGATGAACACCCGATTGAAAAACGTATCGTCACTGATATCGGAGTGCAGTGCATAGATATATTCCACAAGCACGTTACTCGGGGAGATTTAGTAAAAACTAGAGAATCACAGTACAGAGACTGGTATTTTCCACAGTATCGAAATCAGAAGAAAGTACAATGGGATATATGTGTATCAAAACTTTCAAATCCTAGGTTTACCACGGACAGAGACTGTCATGTTATTGGCAAGATCATCCTATACTTGTCTGGCTCAGATGATATGTGTAATAACCCACTAGAAGTGACATTTATGTTTGGAGGCACAGAAATAACTGTTACTGCAGAAGAAGCGAAGACAGGGAGAAATGTGAAAACAGTTGTCAGTTTCCTTGAATAAGGTTGACGTGAAAACAACGAAGTCATTTTTTCGTCTACCATTCCGTAGATTTTACTTGACTGATTTTAGAAAAAACAACGAACTAGCAATGTCACATAGATGTCTTCTAAAGCGACAGGACTGGAATCTTGCAGTTTTGTTTCAGTTGTGTTTATGTATATACAAGTCAACGCAGAACATAATTTATTACTATCATAACAATAATCAAATTTTATAATAAAATATTTCATATTTAAAAACTGATGGAATTGCTGAAAATAAATTACAATTTAACCTCTGATCCCCTTTTAAAATTCTATTTCATTTGGTTTCGCCCCTTCCCCTGTTTTCTCGTTTAGGACGAAGGTATGCTTTTATTTGGGGACCATATGCCGCTTCTCATTAAATGGCACATACGTGTCAGTTGAAGGTTCCATGCTTACTGCCATATGAACACATCTGCTGATATTTCTAAAATTCTAAATTTTACCAGTTTCTGTTAAATTTTGAATTCTGCTTAAGCATAGTAACACTTCTTACCTAAATTTAATAAACATCTGTTGCTTGAGGTTGCTATTCTACAAGCTTTATAAAATAACAGACAAATACATTATGATAAAGAAATATTGAATTATTTTCATTTAGTACTATAATTGAATTGCTGAAATCTTCATGTACAGATAACTTTGTGAATTGGTTTGTAGGTTTCCCTGATATATTACCGTTCCTATCATACAAAGATAACAATTTAGATTTTGACACATATGCCCTTTTCTTACATCCCAAACGTCAACACGATTCTTATCTTATGAAGTGTGTGTCAACTACAGTATTGTATTGTTATTCATATATGGTGTGAGTCAAATTACTTTAGTAAAGATGGCGTTAGTAACATTTTCGAATTTTCTTTGTTTTATTATGTGTGTCATGGTGTCTACGAAAGTTACGTTATGTCATTTGGATTTTAATGACCAGCTGATATTGAATCTCATCGATAAAGTTGAAAACATGCAGGTAAAGATTAATAAGTTGGAAAAGGACAACCGGGATCTGAAGCAATCTATAAGTGTGTTGATAGGAACTACAGCACGATTTCGACTACATATAGATGACCTGACAAACAGGGTGTCTAAATGTGAAAGGAAAGAACCTGAGACTGATAGTAGCATTGTGCAATTAGGTGACAATGTATATAAAATACCTTCAGACGACAGAAGTGAATCAAATGTACAAAAGAACTGTCAGGAGAATGACAGAGACTCGGAACATACAAATTATAAACAAGATGTTCATCGAAAAAGTAAATAAACTTATTATTTTCTTTATAGATTTAAGGTAGACCATGGGTAATGCATTACCTCCACTTTGAAGAGTATTCAAATAGGCTAGAATCGCTTGTAAACTACATTGAAATTGAAGGGCGTGGGTTCAAACCCCAGACGGAGGCTTTTTTCTTTCTTTTTTTCTTTTTAACATTATTTATGTATCTCTCTGATCCCCTATGGAAGAAAAAAAGTTTGATTTAAATTATATAATTATTTTAGGTATTTTTTTTGCTAAATAATGCCAAAATTTATAGAAAATATGATACCAGATATTTTCAAAGTTCGATAAAATAAAAACTACACGGTAAATGTATTTTATATTTCGCATGATCAACTAAAATACCTTTGAAAAAATTTAGGCAAACTTTGAAAACAGACCCTCATTTCGATAAATTTTAGGGATATTTTGAATAAGGGATTTTAGATAGGGAAATGGTAAAATTAGTGTTAAAAGTGGGTGGGGAAGGGTAACATTTTTATACATATTAAGAACATTTTGTTTAGAAACAAACATTTTGCTTGTGTAATGTGTTACCTGAATGTTATTATTTGTTTCTTAACAATGAGCAATAGAAAAACATTTTTTATAATGATGATATTACAGATTATTTACAGTATCCTCATTTCTGAAAATAAGCCCTTCTAATGGCAAAGTCTTAGTTCAGAAATATATCCATAACTCATAAACCACACGGTAAATTTTATTTAAATTTTGCATATAGGTGACCTTGAAGACATATAACTGTCCTATGTTGTCAATTTTACAGTTCCTTATGGTGCCCATTACCCATGGTCTACCTTAATGGCAAAAGAATACTAAGTAAATATATCAGAAATATCGTTATAATTTTATATAGGTTGATATTCTTACTTCTCTATTTACGTTGGAAAGAGCACGAAGCTTACATACATTTTTCATATGGAGCCCTTTTTATATAGATAAAAAAAAGCAAAATCACTTTTTCTTGACCGCTTTAGATTAATATGAATGTGATGAAATTATTCTTTACACCATGCAAACCAATGAAAAATTGATTACAAAAACTTTTACAAAACATGTGCATAAACCAACAAAACCTACTTAAAATAAGGATATTGAATGAACATTCATTCTGAAATAATTTGCAGAAATCTTTGTTTTGATGTATTAGAACTAGTAAGTTTGATATGAATTGAAGTAATTTAAATGATAACAAGTACTTGTTTAGAATTATGTACAGGAAAATGTTTATATATTATCATGTAATTGTTTTTGACTATCATAGATAGCATAGATAGACGTCAAACGTCGGATAATATTGCATTCACTGCGTATTTGGATCACGTGATCAGAAATTTGGGCACAGACCAGCCAGTCGTGTACAACCAGATTCTTCTAAATGATGGCGGAGCATACAGTGACAAAACCGGTAGTAGCTTATATAATCGTTTGTTACAATGGTCTGAGTAACGCTTTTGTATTTTGAAAATTTAGTTTATGGAATTCTTTATGAGCAGCATTGTAAATATCTCAGTCCACATGTATCTTAAGCGCCCCCTAACACCCCATCCTCTTTTTTAATTTAACAAATGTGCACTTGAAGTGTCGACGAAAAAATTTATAGTATTCCTTTTTGTTATAATATATTCATATAATACATGTATAATATGTTTTTCAGGAATATTCCGAGTGTCTGTTTCCGGGGTTTATCTTCTATCTTGGTCAGTGACGGCCAGAAAGTTACAAGGGGAACATGCATATGACGTATGGGTAAAACTTGTTGTTAATGGAGTTCATCAGGTAGTTTTTCTTTCGTTGAATTTATTATTTATTTATTGTAGAGATAACATTTACAATGATTTATAAGTATACAAAGAAAAGTTCATATTGACTTTTATTTTCGAAAACTGTTTACTGATACTTAAATGATTGAAGATTTTTTTCTTTATATCATTAAAGGCTATTGTAAAAATGTATAATACGTTTACAACTTTCTTCGTAGTATATTAGTTAAAAAAGAAACTAGTTTCTAAAAAGCTATAAATCGTTTTCTTATGTTGTTTCGGCGTTTCGAATAACAACTTTATTCATACAATTAAGAATATGATTCGATGTCAATTGAACTAATTTAATCAGAACCGAAAGGCGTTAAAAAGATTGACAACTTTATACTGATTCTTAATAACATTGTATGTGTTTGTTTCGATAAAAAAACAGAACTTCGTTTCTTTTCGCGTTTCACAAACTGCTACTTCAGCATAAAATACAATCTATGTTGCAAAAAGAAAATGAAAGTCTTCTGCATAAATAATACATGTACTTTAATTTGATATTTTGTTTTGAAAAGAACCAAATTGATAATAAATCAACACTTTTTTTTACATATGTTTCAATAACTATTATAAATGCTAGGTATATAAATAGGTTGCCTCGTGCATAATTGAAGATGAAAGTCATCACTCAGTGTCAGTCTGTCTTGAAAAACAATAATTACTGAAATATTTCTATATGTAAACCAAAATGGAATGATTAAGTAATTCGACCGAAGTGTGCATATGTCTTTACGTACTGTTTCCGACGAGGCGATAAGACGATTGAATACAGCGACGAAACGAAGCGATGGTTCCAACGGAAAGACGTTATTAAATATGAGATAACATATATAACCGTAAGCACATCAAGCTTGTTTCTGTATGTCTATTTTATATTTTAATGTTGGAAACAGACAGGAGCAGTTGCTGAGAGTAGAGACGATGCAGACGATAACCAGGGAAGTAAGGCTGTCGTTTTACATCTGAACCAAGGTGACGAGGTTTGGACGTCACATTACTCCTCCTACCCGGATATGTTTGGTGACGATACTGAGAGAACAACATCGTTCATGGGTGTTCTTCTTTATGTTGATCAATGAAATATTGTATTTGAATAGTACAAAACATTAAATCAAATATGAAAGTATTGTATTCATTAATATCTATTTACTTTGCTGAACGAATATGGAGAATGAAGATAGTTTTGTATACAGGCATTGCACTCTTCTTTCACATCAACGCTTTACATGCAAATAACTGCAAATAAAGTTGTTATTTAAAGAACACAGTAAATGTTTTAAAATTTTTGGAAAGTTAACAGAAAGAACGACAAAAATAAATGAATGCATGTAATATTTGTAATCTGAAGGTCTGACTGACCTAAGCTTTATTTAAAAACATTGTTGTCTAATAGCGTTCAGTTGGATATGAAAGACTCCCACAATTGTTAAAGAGGGTTGTGCACCTTTTTTCGTGCACTTATATCTGAAGGTGCACGAGGACGCATTCAAAAACATGAGCCCGCAGGGCTGGGGATTAAACCAATATATATATATTAACAAATGTTTTCCTGATTTTTATCAGTATCTTTTAAAGTGAAACCGCGTGAAATTGTTGATTGCTTCTTTGTTACTCCTAATAAGGACTTTAAAAACCTTATTAGGATATTATAACTCTTAATTTGTAACAAAACCGAATTTAGAGACTTACAAAATCCTAATTAGACGAAGAAAAATACCTAATTAGGACTTTGCTCAACTCGTAATTTGGAGTTTTTCTTAAAGTCTAACTATAACCCCAATATGAAATAATAAAATATAAAGGGCCCCACATTTTAATAAGCAAGTAATTATAAAATATTTGGTTATTATGCCCTGTGTTCAGTATAATACTTAATTCAACTGGAATTCAACATTTAAAATTTGGATATCACATGTTGTAAATGCTGGAGATCATTGTTTATATTTTATAACGTGTGAAATAGATATACAAAATTATACAAAAACATGCAGTTTATTAGAAGGAAGACAACCCTGGAATGTCATAATATCCATATTTATTCTAGTTTTCTTCCTTTAAAAGTCAAGGGTTTTCTGAAAGGTAATGTTTTTGAAAAAGAAAAATAGTTGAGATTAAAACATAAAAAAAAGTGAATGTATGCTAACATTGAATATTATTTTATGAATATTAAGTCTATTTGTACACGATATTAAACATTTTGAGATTAGCACTAAAACTTTTGAAAACATTTTAACGACGCAGTCCGTAGTGCCAGATGTTTTTAACAACAGGGGCCATTGGCTGCAAAACGCTCACCTTAAGACAGACTGTTGTTTGTCCAAGGACCAATTTTAACACTAAGGTCAAATTTTGAACAATTTTGATAGAAGATTTATAGACGATACTCTATACCAAATATCAAAGCTCTGAGCCTTGTACCTCCAGAAAAAAAGTAATTTTAAGATTTTACTGCAAGTACAAAATGAAATTTAATGCCCCCCCTGTCTCCATTTTGACCCAGGGCTATAATTTGAACATTCTTGGTAGAGGTCCACTTCACAATGTTTAATGCCTTAGCCTTTGTCAATTCAGAGAAGACTTTTTATGTTTTACATTACTATTATTTACAGAAAAGGTACACGTATGACTCCCCTTGCGCGGCCAATTTTGATACTAGGAGCAACATTTAAATAACTTTGGTATAAAATCTATCGATGATTTTATATATCAAATATCTAAGCTCTTTACCTTGTACCTTCAGACATGAAGATATTTTTTTTATTTTTTACTTTACTCATTTACAGCAAAAATCATGACACCCGGCGCGGGGACAATTTTGGCACCAGGGCTATAATTTGAACAATCTTGGAAGAAATCCCCTACACAATGTTGCATACCAAATATCGTATCATTTGACAATTCAGAGGACAAGACTTTTTAAATTGTAACTATATCAAAGGAAAACATATGATTCCCCGGGGCAAGGCCAATTTTGACGCTAGAGGCATAACACATTTGGAAGAAAGCCTATAGATGATATTACATACCAATTTTCTGAGCTCTGAGCCTTGTTCATGTACCTTTAGACAAGAAAATTGCTTAAGTTTTTATTAAATACATATAAGGGAAACCTTTGACCCCCGGGATGATTTTTCTGTTTGTTTAGTCTAAGTTTTCTACAAAAATAACAAGCATTGGAAGTATTTAGAAATTGTAATATTCGGCTGCAGTTTTGACTTCTGTATATATGTATAAAAATTTTGTCATGACCCAAATATTCTACATCGTTATTCAAATTATAATGCTCGATGTTTTGTTTATCTATACCATGGCAGAGTCGTATTTTTTGTACCGACTTGCAATAATTTGTATATATTCTTTGATTGGTGTGTAAGATTGATCAATATCGTATTCATTGAGATCTTTTCAAGTTTAAACCCACATATCTTTATTCATTTATCCATTATGTTTGGAAAATCCTTTATAATAAGTGAATTACTATTTACTATAGAATCACAGATCATGGAGATGTGAACTTCGTTTGCATGGTTTGGATTTTCATAAGAAACTAAGAATGGTGAAGTTATCCACAATATTATATTACTTGTTAAACTTTGTACTCGTTTATTGGTGCATACCTTTTCATAGATACCTACTTAGATATATTGTATCTTGTTTACAAGTTAAAGCAGCTGACCTCCAGAAGATAGCAGAAAACTGCCGGCTTGCTAATATATTTCAAAATCCCCCCTGAAAAAACATTATCTAGTTTAAAGAAATCGAAATGACGCTTCAAAATGTTCATATTTTAACATTATTGCTGAAAACAAACAGTTCGCTTTTCCACCAACGGGAAATACCTTCTTTTATTATACCACGGAATTCTGTAATCTGGTTTTTTTTTCTAGTATCAAGTGATTGTACAGGATAATATCGCGACCTGTGCTCCGGAACGCACGGATTTTATCAAACATAATTATAGGGATACTAATAACTGCTTTTGTTTTTATATTTGTAGGAATTCGTGGCACTAAAAATTATAATTGTTTAATTATTTCATATATATGATGACCAATATATCGATTTAACATTTAGCTTGAAATGTGATAGGGGACGAAAATTGATAAACGATCCCGGGCATACCGGATACTGGGATTTTTACGGATCACTGTTGTGACACATGACCGCGTTAAATGAATTATCCTCTCCTATTTATATTGTCTAGCTACTGCGTTTGTAACGTAGTAAATTATGGAAAAGAAAACCCAATATATTAACGCTTTTATCAACATTCTTTCTTGAATTAAGGTGTCAGTAATGATGGATTTATACAATAAACCTAACTATATCAGTATTTACCATTTACTTGAAGTATTATTTCAATTTTTTTCATTTTACCATCTGGAGGTCAGAGGCGTTAAAGAGCTGCATCTTTCAATACACACTGTCTTATCAAATAATTTATTTACATTCATACCAAAACAGATTGTATTAAGTTCGCCACCTTCTAATTGGTACTTTTCATAAATGCTTAAGAAAGAAATTTCCGAATCTTTGTGTGTTTCCTCATATTGCTCCAATAACCTGTAGATATGTATGAAATAATAAGCAAATAGTTTTAATAATGTTAATATGAAGCAGATGTTGGTCTTTACAAAGGCGATTATCGTATAATAATAAAAAGCATTTGCGAACATTTTTTGGGCTCTATATTTCCTTACCAATAGTTTTAAACTTTTAACATTTAAAAAGAGAAAAAAAACAAACAACAAAAAACAAAGAAAAATAATAATTTTAACATTGTAAATAATGTTTGAACTATAAGTTTATGGAAAATATACTTTGAAATCAAAAACACAATGTCCACAACGACAATAAATTGATTTCTAGAGGTTCGAGAATATTTGGTACAAACTACATGTATATATTATATCTTTAGTTTATATAAGTCTGAGTTTGTACAACAATTACATTACAAGTAAAATGGTTTCCTGCGGGGAACATTTTTAATGATATAAAGATTTTCCATTTAACTATTTTCAACATTGTTTGTGGGGAATAAATAAACGCGCGGTTTTATCAGGAATATAGTTGACAATAATCGATCAATATAGAAGAAGGTCTTTGGAAACTGGTGACGGTTGATGACCGGAGAAGGTCGAACATAAAACAATTATTTCTTTTTAAGAAAATGATTAAATAGGCCCACCATTTTATGAATTATTCCGAGCAAAAAAAGTAAACACACAAGTTTAAATATCTCTATTTGTTCTGGCAGATGCCACTACGAATATTTTAATTTTGTAGATTTTCAGTATAAACAATTAATTGTTTGTAAAATTTGAGATACATATTAAAGAAACATTGATAATATTCAAACACATCATTCAAATTTTTCCACCTTAAACGGTAAAATAATTATAGAAAATTAGAAATATCACGTAATAGCTGTTTGTTCTTAATTAGGTGTCACTCTGACTAATTCCCTAGAGGTAAATCCGTAACGTACCGGCAAACGGTATTTAGCCAGGTTTTCGAAAAGGCCAATTAACCAATCATGTACGGTTTACAGATCACATGCTCCTCCATGTATCGAAAACAGGTCACGTGCTCCTCCATGCCTCTCCAGACCGCAGGGAACAAAGTCGTCGTTCAAAGTTCTCCTACATGTTTAAAAGAATATAACCAAAATATGCAATGACTTGTTTTTTGTCCACATCTTACGTTTCTTTATAATTTCACGGTATTCACATGGTTATCAAACTGACTGGATGAAATTCTCCCGGGTGTAATGATTCCATGTAAAACAAAATCACGTGCTTTATTCGTTAGAAGATTGTGTCCGGATCTCGGCATATAATGAATGCGCAAAGAAGTGCCGAAAACCATTCCGGTCATCTCACATCAAAGGAAATCGTATGTTGTTATCGTTATGAAATTGTGATATTTTAGGGAGTGTTTTTATAAAAGTTGCCAACATAGCGGAAAACAAGTTTTATGTTCATGACATGAGACCAGGTCGTAAATATCTGCAAAAATATTTTGACGTACGGTTTGCAAAATAAAAACGGACTTGGTGTATACAGGTGCGGATCAAGAAGGGGAGTCACGCACATAACCCCAAGTGTATGTGTAAGTAATAGGAAGG